TCTCATATTTCTACGTAACCTTATCTCTAACAATTTTGACTGAAGAAAAGCAGCCAATTTGTTGTGGTTTGCTTGTAAGAAAGTGTTTTCCTCTATCAGACAACATATGAGATATAGACATGAAAAATCTCTCTGGAAGCTTTAGTTAATGATTAATATCTCCAAAATGAACACGATTTTCAATTTATAGAAACTTCTCTCTTTAAAACCATTGGATGAATGACATTATAAAACAAGTTGAACACAGTTATTTCAATTTTATCTTCAGATTCTTTCCTATTTTCAATGTGTCCAATGTACTCCTTCACTTTTGCTAAGCATGCTTTATTTAATAACTAAACGCTCTCGAATGTGACCTATCAGCAATCTCAATTTATCTGATACAATGCAGCAAGTATGAACTATAATATATCCTCTAGTTTATACAGGTATGACTGAGCTAAAGAAGCACCTTGTTGGACATACAAGACTGTTTAGTATAGGTGTAATTTATTTTATTTTGTGACTTAAAAAAGTTAAGTAAAAGTTAGAAACGAGCGTGTGAGCGATTAACCGTAAAGAGCGATATTTGAAAGTGAGTTTAATATGGATAAGGAGAATAATTTGTCTTGTCTAAAGTCATTTAACCCGTCTGCGTGGACTTTGACGAAAAGGTTTGTTTGTTTGTAATTAAGCACAAAGCTACACAATGGGCTATCTGTGGTCTGCCCACCACGGGTATCTAAACCCGGATTCTAGCATTGTAAGTCCGCAGACATGCCGCTGTGCCACTGGGGAGCTTTACGAAAAGGAGACAAATATTTGAAGTTCAGGATACAACTGTGGCAACCCACGGGGTAGCTTGAGTCAGCCAAAGATAATTATTTAGAGTTTGAGATACAACTGTGGCAACCCACGGGGTAGCTTGAGTCAGCCTAAGATAATTATTTAGAGTTTGAGATACCAACTGTGGCAACCCACGGGGTAGCTTGAGTCAGCCAAAGATAATTATTTAGAGTTTGAGATACAACTGTGGCAACCCACGGGGTAGCTTGAGTCAGCCAAAGATAATTATTTAGAGTTTGAGATACAACTGTGGCAACCCACGGGGTAGCTTGAGTCAGCCTAAGATAATTATTTAGAGTTTGAGATACAACTGTGATATCCATAATGTAAAGAATTCTTGTGCATAGTTTGACTTGTTTTGAAGTGGTGAAGTGTGTATAGTCCGTTTATTGTCGAATTTATCGACAACAAGTCACAGACTCCTACTGTAGAAGAATCCTTAGCTCACATACACATAAAACCCTGACAAACCTTGTGGCTAACAGTTATCAACCATTCTTGTGGCTATCAGTTATCAACCATTCTTGTGGCTATCATATATCATCCATTCTTGTGGTTACAATATATCAACAATTCTCATGGTTAGAAGTCTCTATGATCACTGATTACTACTTACTAGCTTTTGTGATACATTTCGGCTGCTACTCTGCCGCCACCTTCAGGGCAGTCCTGGGAAGGACTATTTCTCTGTTATTAGTGGCCGGAATTCGATTTTGGATCTCTTTGATGGAAGTATGGTGTGTTGTCTCCTTTCGTGTTTGAATCAACTAACAAGAATCATAATCTTCTGTATCAACAAAACTTACTTCCAACATTAATGTAAATACAACAATGAGCTATGGGTTCTTCCCGATCACCAAAACTCAATAGCCTCTACAACTACTTAAGGTTGTGCAGATATATTAACGCCGACGTGGCGTGTAACAGAATATACTAGGAAGAGCGTCAGTTGTGTTAATGCAATTGAGCCATTTGTAAGTAATTTTGTGACCATACAAATTGGCGACTTCTTTCTCTGGACATCACTGTTATCGATAGCGAAAATCGCAAGTCGCGTCAAAAAATGTCGCAAGGAAAACTCAAAAGCTGCTAGGATTAACGACAAATTAAGCTGTGATTATGCTGTATATACATTAGTTATTCTAAAGAAGAAGTTTTCCCCTCGTACGTATTCAGGAGTGTAGAGCTGCCGGAGCGCACCAGAGTGCCATTCCAGCACCTGAAGTTGAAGGTGAGTCCCAGCTTTTCAAAAACTAAAAATATGTATATAAAATGGGGTTATTCAATTTACATCTCGAATTAATGTCTTTCATAACCAAACAATCAGCGTGTCAGAGAACACTCTAGCTGTTCGTGACCACCATGTTCACTGGCAGAAATCTTTCAGATCGCCTAGCACACATTCTGTTACTGTTCCTTTGGAGCTGGCGTCAGTCACAATGCAACCATTCAGGCTCAAGAGGGGGTTCCAAATCGTTAAATTGGTGAAATGTCATTTGTCATACATCACCTGATTATTAAGACACACGAATGTGGGACAATAAAGTACGTTTTACAATTATATAGTGTGTTTATAAAAGTACACTTTTAAAAAGTCTATCATTTATATTGTTACGACTCTAGAAAGATCGGGAAACATCACGAATAATCCAGTATTTGCTAGACGCCCTCTATTCTTGTATATAAGTGCGCCAGACAATTAATCGCGATAGAATTGCAGACGGAGACGAACAATTGAGTCAAGCGCGGTAATAAGTAAGTAAGTGCATCGTTCCCTGTGAATTATAACGTGTTTTTATAAAATTAGTTAAGTTAAATTGACTGTGGAAATTAAGTGTATTGCAAAGTTGAATTGATAAAGAATAAACTAGTTTTATTTAAGAAAGGACTTGTATCGCTGAAGTTCTTCGGAAAGAATTTTACGAGTAATTAACTAACGACCACAGACGTAACAATATAATATACAATGAAAGTCGCTTTTTTATCTATTCATATTGCCAGAATAGTAGGTATGTATGCATTACAGAAGTCAGAGTTGCTACTACTCTAGTTGCAGTTAGAAAAGCAGTAATTTAAAAAGATATGCAATTTTAGGGTTAGTGAATTTTACTTGTTTTTTCTGCTTCCTGCTTAATTTAAAGGATGTTGAGTTGTGTGTTTTCTCTTGCTCGTATATCCGTATTCAGTTTGGCTCTAATGTATGTAATCTCTAATAATGAGTTTTCAATATAGTTTCTTTATTTGGAATGGACTCACAAAGATTGGAATTAGCCTTACCTTATACTGACGCCACACGTATGACAAAAATTGTCGCATGGCTTCTGCACTATAACATTTAGCACTACACCAATGTACATATTACACATATTCAAATAGGTACTGAAAATAAAAATGTACCTCGAAATTAGGAGACGTTGTTATAGCTAATATAACGTTGCATCGCATATTTTACAATAATATGTAATATAATTAAACGAAAAAGTGGCGTACACTAAGAAATACATTTTCAAACAGTTATACTTTCTAACTATTATCGACCCAAAATGTTCACGTTAGAGTAACCATATCTCCGTCACTCCATACATAATGTACACTTTTGTTTTTAAGTTTATTTTTGATTATTTTATTAATGTAACAACTATGATTTCTTTACATCGCTATTTTGACAGCCTAGATTTGAACACCTTTTAATTAATTAATTATCATTTGTCGGACTGTAGTTGGCGCTATAGTGTTGCCGCTATTTCATACATAAGCTTCACGGAAATTAACTTATTTGCCAAATAATGAGGAACGCGTAAGCCTTACGGTAATTTTTACCAGTAATTTATTATTTTCTACGAGCACGTGATTTAACTGTGAGCGAGAATTCAATTGTGTAATGCGCTTTGGACTTAGAACTAATTACAAATGGGAAGTTACCTTTGTACATTTTTTGTGTCGTTTGTTTTTAATATATATTTGTTTCAGAAACTTGATTTTCACATGTCATAAATACTTCACATAGTTTCTGCTGGTACAGCAATATATAGTTCGCTGCTGGTACTTTTCGTGCATTATTGATGTGACAGTCTTCAATAAAGCTGTAAGTATTCCCTTCCATTTTAATAATATTGTAATAACAATTTTCCTAGGTTAAGGAATGCCATTTAGCACATCAAAGTCACCCAGGAAAGAAACTAGAACACTCTGAAATATAACCTTTCCCACCCATAAACGAATTCAACAAAAAGGAATTATAAGTGTATATCACATCACCTGACAAAACAATTCTAGGAGATAACCACTATCCTGAAAACATGGAACATGTTAGAAAAATACAACTGTCCTAACTGAAGGTTTGTCTATCTTTTCAAAATCTTAAAGTTGTATCCTAGTTAAGCCTATTGGAAATGCTCTGTAAAGTGTTGTCTCTTTGTCAAGCAGGTCATTTAGAAAGCAGGCCTGGCATGGCCAGGTGGTTAGGGAGCTCGATTCGCAATCTGCGGGTTGCGGGTTCGAATCCCCGTCCCACCAACCATACTCGCCCTTTCAGCCGTGGGGGCGTTATAATATAACGGTCAATCCCACTTTTAGTTGGTAAAAGAGTAGCCCAAGAGTTGGCGGTGGGTGGTGATGACTAGCTGCCTTGCCTCTAGTCTTACACTGTTAAATTAAGGACGGCTATCGCAGATAGCCCTAGTGTAGCTTTGCGCGAAATTCAAAACAAACAAACAAATTAAGTACAACGAAACGGAAGATCGTGAGACGGTTATGAGGGAAATACATCTTATGTACCATAATTCTGGGATGTTTGGGGGAATTGGATTAGGACTTGAAGATAATGAAAACAAGGTATAACTAGAGATTTAAATCCTATATTAAAAACTTATATAGCTATACCAGTAGTATAATATATATTACATGGAAAATGATATATATATATATATATATGAGTTCTACAATAACAGTTGTGTTTAAAAACACTAATCCGAAGTATATATCATGAGATTATACTAAGATGTTTTGTAAATATCAAGACACACGGTAGTGTGTCGTGCGGTCAAAACAACCTGCTGCAGGACACACATTCTTTGTTGTTGTTGTTGAACTTAAGGCATGATGGTGGGTAAAACAAAATACGCGGCCTAGCTAACTAATTAATGAATATATTTACTGTAAAATTCTGATCAATGCTATAAGTGTAGCTCCCAGTTTGGCCGCCAATTTTGATTTCATTCCTTTAAGTCGCGCACTCAATCCTTTTTTGGCCGCATCTTTTCTACAAACCTAAGGTGTTTTTGGTTAGATTACTTTTTACACGCGTAGATTGGTTGTGTGCACCAAAGAGTACTCACAGTTAAAAGACTATAACGCTGTCTGTGTATACTATATTGGTTACTGAGCGAATAACAAAAAAAAAGTTTTGATTGTCTTAAAGTAGTCCAGGTTAGAGATAACTATACAGCTATATATATATATGAACTTTTCTCACTGCTGTCCCTATTCTGAACTACCGACCAAAGAGAAGGCAACTGGCAGGCTGCACCCACTGCCAACCCACTGTTTGTCCTTTCAGTTATAAAATATTATCGTCGGATGCTGTCAACTAGTTGCCTTCCCTCTAGCTGTCAACTCAGAATTAAAGACAGTGACAAATAGCCTTAGTAGTTTTACCTAACTCAAAAAGAAACAAATATTATGCCTCCGCATCTGAAAAAACAAGCATATTTGGTGACAAGGAGAATCAAACCACAGATCTTGGAATTAAGGGGCAACCCCAGATCATCAAGCCATGTAGACTCGAAGCTTGAAAAACGTGAATTAATAGAAAATAATTATAATTATATTTCAATTACGTAGACAGTTGGAATGATATTTAAAACACATGTAAACATCATTCTACCTAACTAATTTAGTAACGTCCATATCTAAGATTTAGTCACCTCTACCCGGAACACATGTAAACATCATTCTACCTAACTAATTTAGTAACATCCATATCTAACATTTAGTCACCTCTACCCGTAACACTTGTAAACATCATTCTACCTAACTAATTTAGTAACGTCCATATCTGA